TCGAAAATTGCAAATACCTATGAATAGTTCAACTTAAGTCGAACATTTTTGAAAATTGCATGGTGGATAGAATATACTTATGTAAACATTTGGTGAAATGATGGATCAGGAAATTTTTKAACTTAATAAAATAAAAGTACTACATAGTACTATATGTTATATAAATTATTTTCATTTTGAGCTTAACATCAGGTAATTCGGTTTTAAATTAAACAAGGCTGAAAGTTTATCTTTATGTCATGTGATCTAATTAACTGACTTGATTAACTACATTACAACAATTTCTTTTAAACAACATTTTCTTATTGAGCGATAATTTTATATCTATGGTAGATATTTGATAAACAATGCATTTTTTGGTAATTTTTATTCGAGCTCTATCTATAACATGCTGTTAATTCCTAAATAATTACAATTTTTTTTCAATTTTTTTCTTATATTGTTATGTTTTTCCCTTTTTGATGTGTTATTCTGAAATAAATAAATATATGTATTAATAACTTTAAATGTTTCTGAATTTAAATAATCAAAAGAAAAGAGGTGCAATAATTATTTATAATTTTTTTTTAACTAAATTAGATAAATATAATAAATGCATGTTTCAAATAAAACCAAATTAATAAAAAAAAAACACAAACAAACAAATATTATTAATTGTTACATTCAATAATGCTTAAATAAAATTTTATAATATATTTATTTATTTTTAGATGTGATACCAGTTGAAACTGTAATCGAGTTTTACGAGAAAATAGATGACTGTCTATCACCTTAAGTGATGGATGTGATAACCTGTAAACTATAAATTAATCGAGCATCAGGGTTTAATTTTCTTAGTGTAATGAATGTTGATATTCTTTTGGACATGTAAGCTGATATTTTTTAAAATACCTTAGATGTAATATAATGAAAATACCTTAGATGTAATATAATGAAAATACAAAAAATAAATATTCATGTAATTAATTAATATATTTTTTACAATAATAAACTAAATATGAAGTAACTA